GGGGGGGGACAGCGAGCCTGTGAGGGAGAACCGGGGGTGGGAGGGGAGGACGCGCTCGCCCGCAGTTAGTCCGCTAATGTGGGTGAGCACCCTTACTTCGGCCGGGAGGTTACTCACTGTTACTTTTTCCCTTTACTTAGTAGTGGTTGCGCTTGTTTTGGCATCAGAGGCAGTTTTTGTGGAGGATCTAGATGAATCGTAAGTACTGGGGTGTGACCTGCTTTGCTACCTTAATACTTTTTTTTTTGTGTGGCGGGGGTGAGCGGGCAGCCCACACCGAAGGCTTTGTGCAGTGTGTGACTGTCCAGAAAACCGTGCTGAAAACGTCTTCCTTTTTCTTAGCAGAAATCGTAAAAAGACTGTGACGTGTGTTAAGTAGCCATCACTAGTTAAGCTAAGAAACACCTTCGTTTGACAGTTTCTTAAAGCTGTTGTCACTGGCTCTGTTACCAAAAATGTTATCAGGCTCCCTTGTACTTCCTTTCTTTTTCGGCAGAATAAATATATTTGTGGATGGATCCTGACCCAGAATAAAGGTGACTGTGTTTAACCCAGTTCTTTATCCGTATTTGATATGAAGCTGCCACAAGGAGTTGGTAAGGAGAGTAAAGTGTGTTCGCGTGTGGCCAGGAACAGAAGAGAAAAGGAGTGCCTTTGTCCTTTCAGTGGCGGGGTAGCACATGGCTGCTTGAAGCTATGAACATGTACGACTGCATGGAAGTCCTGTGTAAAGATGTGCTTTCCTAATGAATTTAAGCCTAAGACTATGTAGCAGTTCAGACAGAGCACAACTGGATTCAGGGTAGAACCACCTGTCTTTGCTTTAGTGGTTGCATGAATGTGTACTTGCTGTGCCCATAAAACTTAACTTTCTAAAAATGAAGATAATTTTTTTCAATCAGATCAGCAAGCTGATCTAAAGCGAACTGTCACAAGGCAGCATGATTATTAGAATTGAAATGGAAGATGTAAAAAAAATATTTGCATAGGAGATGAGGAGAAGGTATTCAATTGCTATTTTGTGATAAATTTAAGCCAGTCTAAGCCTGTGTTTTCATAAGGGTTCAGTCTGTGATAAATTGCTTTATAGAGCTAAAGAGCCAGAAGAGCATTCTTTTTCTTTTTTTTAAAACATTGTTCTTACTCGGCAAAAGCGGATAATGCTAGGATCAATCTGAGGCACAGTGAAAGTACAAGGGAGGGAACATATTACAACGGATATGAAGGGAGAAACCTCAGCCTCTCTGGTTTGTGTTTAAACTGTTACGAATGAGAAGCTGAAGCACAGGACTGCTTGGCATGGACTTTGCAAAGGTTGTATTTTGATCCATGCCTCATATTTTCCAAGGCTGAAGAGACAAAATGAATAACATAAAATACATTTGTGCTCCCACATCATGTTTCCACAGTTGCAAGTTTAAATGTAATTGTTGCTTGGAATGAAGGTGCCATAATTCCGTAGTCACGGAACTTTTGTGAAGTAGCTACTAGAAGGAAATCCTTTTGTAGAATGCTTTGCTTTTTAATTACCAAACTATCCACATGCCTGTATTTGCATTTGGGAGTATAAATTCAGTGGGCAGTTGTTCCCAACAATCTTTTGTTTTTGTCTGATTGACAGACGTCCTAATTTTATGGAATTTTTTGCTGTTGTTGAGAGCTTTGGGGTTTATTTCTATTATATTAGTTGCGAACAGTGCCTGCTAGTGGAAGTTGAAGGTCTCTGTACCAAGCTTACAGGATAGGGAAAAACAAATAGCTGAGAAGTATCCAAGATACGAGTTACCCAGCATCGCCCAATTTGGCCGTAGAGGAGACACAAACGAGACCTATGGTTCTTGTCAGCTCACGCTGATTGTAACTGCTTGCTGCCTGAAATCTGTACTTGTCCTGCCATCTTTGCTGAGCTGTGGCAACGCGCTAACCAAGCAGAAGAGTAATCTGACTAAAAAAGCAAATGTTTCTCTGTCTGGTGAGGGTGCTGTAGTGGCTCACCACAGGGTCAGAGAAGCATCAGAACTGGTGGAAGGGGAATGAGCAGAGAGGAGTGGAAGCAGCAGTTGGGTTGGCTTAGATTGTCTTGGAGTTGTGACCTTGGGCTTTAGTTCTGCTTTGTGCTGGTTTCTCTTAACTGTGAGCTATTAAGTGGAGTGCATAGATTAAGTGGAGGCTGGGGCAACGTTTGGTCACATAGTGCTATGTGTTGGGGAGGTGTATGTATTTGAGACAAATGGTTTTGTTTCAAGGATATACAACACCTGTCTCTTCTTTCCACCAGTATGATTCCACTTGTGTCCACCTTTGCAGACAGAGAGAGGATTGCAGAGGGCAGTTAATCGGAAACATTGAGATTTTACATTTGGAAATACGTGTAAAGAGCTAGAAACAGCACCTTTGGGGAAATGTTGAAAGACCCATTTTTACAGAGATTGAATTTCATGCTTCTTCAACAGTATAATTAGCTTAGTTAGTATTGCCTAATAATTTTATCATGTTTACATTATCAAAATACAGATATTGCAGCTGTGGAAGTGTTGATATAAGTCAGTAAGGCTTTCATGAGAAAAATTTAATTGACGGATTGTAACTTCATTACTATATAGCACTCCTCTTTCTAGATTGAGTTGAAATAGTTGTCCTTTTGTCAAACTTCATAGTTTAGTCTCTGTGGAAGTTGATCTTTTAGTGAAATAGGTTCCCTTAAGTCTATTGCACAGCTTGTGTGGTATCTCTTAAAACATGATTGGTCCAATGAATGTGCTGACAAAGTTACTGAATTCCATTAGAATGCATTGTCTCCAAACTATTTCCGTTCCTTTCTTCTTTTTCCTTGCTGTCTGCTAGTTTTCTAACAAAGGTTCTAGTCTGCCCTTCAGTGCTTTAATGTTCTATGCAGTCTCCCAGTAATATTGGGGCAGAGGTGATAGACCATTTCCTTGTAAATTCTTGTTGAAGAAGCCAAAGATGATATTCTAAATTCAAATTCAGCCCAAAATCTGATGATTCAATAGCTGCTGCTTTTTACCTGTTGCTCATAACCAATTATTTGACTTTATAATTGGAAATGAGCTGGAGCTTTATTAGGATTCACAAGAGATGATAGACTCTAATTAGTTCTTTCGTTATCTCTGTAGCACTAGGGTGGCAAATCTGTCTTTTAGTGAGGTGGTAGACCAAGTAGTTGTTTGCCTTAAAAAGCATGCTTTCTAGTAGCTGTTTTATATTAATTATTGCACTACCTTTTCCATTTTACAAGTATTACAACTTTAGTGTGCTATCAAAAAGACAAAAGAAAAGGGGAAGGGGATTTAATTCACCAGGGAAATGCAGAAATTTTAAGTCTCAAGCACTCAGTTTTGTGATTAGATTATTATATTAGTGATTTTTTTTTTTATTACAGGCAGTGGACTAGCATGAATTTTAGTATGATTTCAGGACTACTATATACCATTCCGAATCTGTTCAATTTTAAATGAAATGTAACAAATGTTCTGTGATTCTACTGACTGCCTGTGAGCCATTTATAGTCATGCTGCATACCGGGAAATGATGAGTCAGGTTATCTCTTCTATTAATTGGATCTAACTATGATGTAGACCACTCGCTGTGTAGGTAATTATGTATAATCATCTCCTTCGATTAAAAACTTGGCAAACCTTCTGCAAAGCTGTCACAGTAAGAACTTTTAATAATATATATCATATGACATTGCTCCCAATTCTAGTCATTTTTCTTAAAATTTATCTTTTACAGAAAGAAACAAGCTTTGCATAAAAGTTGTAGTTTATTTAATTCACACTTTAGAAGTAGGTAAATAATGAAATAATAATTATGATCTTATGATATTTACAACAGTGCAATTCAACGTGTAACCAACATTCCAAGAGGGATCAAGGAACTCTCATATTTCACTCTTTATTGTAGAATATAGTGATTTTTAACATCTACTGACAAATTTGCAGTTAGTAAAGCTAGTCAGTTCATTAACTTATCATTGCTCTAGCATTAAGAGTAGTCAATAGTACTAGTGTATTTCTATTTTTTATTAATAACTTCAGCACTTACTTTCCAGTAGTTTTTTATGTTATTTTTGTAAAAGCATAAATTAAAACACCTGTAGTAGTCAAATCCGGTAGGAAGTTGAACTAAAATTAACTTGTTAGCATTAAAAGATAATTCACAGTTAGTGTACATTCGCTCAAGTGCTAAGCTTAACAGTAGCGTAAATCTGTGCTCTTGGAGAATGTACTAGTTGATCTATAAAAATTCTAGGTTTTCTTAATGATCCTCAGCATGAAGTATTGATGTAACTAAAATAGCTAAGGAAAAAAAATACTTTTCCCCTTAGGTTACTTATCCTGATCAAGCAGTTCCATGTGTTTGTGGTGTGTTTTTTTGTATTTGTTTTTTTGGCATTGGTAGGTGGTTATAGACACCTCATATGGTACAGCTGCACATGTAGTGTGATGTGCAGGGTCAGTCTTAATAATTAAAATCAGTATCTCTTCTCTCTCTTCTCCCTATCCTCCCAAAAAGAAACAAAACAGAAATCTAATAGCTATAGTTTTGTACTAACTTAATTGCAAAAACAATTTTACTTTTTCATAAGCAACCTTCATTTATGTATTTTTAGATGTATCATAAATTGTTTTTTTTTTCCCTCCTAGGTTTAAAGAAAACCGTAAAGATGATATTTGGCTTGTAGATGTGAGTATGTGAGAAAAACATGAAGATTTTCGTTTGATTTCAAGCGAAGCTTGTAGGAATCAAAACACGAAATGTACTATATGCTACACTGTAGTAAGGCTGCTTAATCATCTGGAAAATCTTTTCTGCATGGTGCAGAAAAATTACATGATGTTAATTCTGTTGACAATATGGATAAGCAATCTGCCTGTATTGTTCCAGATGAAGCAGGAATCAGATTTAGTACTGAATGCCAGCCTCACCCTATGGTTTAAATCCCTTGAAACGGAGCAGATTATCTAATGCTTAAATTGAGGGGATGGAAACCTGCATTTAAATTTTTTTGTTTAATTCTGTTCTCTAGTTATATCTGCTATCTTGTGTGCTTTCATATACTACTTGATATTGAAACGCTGAATGTCTAGGCTTCTTTTACTTTTCTAACAAAAATGGAAGGATTTAAGTGCTCCTTATTTCAGAGGCAAAGCATTACTGAAATGGTTGAGCTTGTTTAGGAATGAGATAAAATTCTTCTCAGCTCACCTAAATCTGAACTGTAGTTCTCAAATAGTATATTTAAGGCTTGTGTTTTTGGTGGGGATATCAACATACACTGTTTCAGAATTAATTAATAATGTATGGCAAGACGGAATCCAATTTTACCAAGTTATGACTTGATTTTGTTATACCAAAACATTGATATCTTCCCTATTAATTTCACTGATGTGTTGCAGCAAGACCACTGATAGGCAGAAAGATGGAATAGTCTCCCACCTGTTTGGTTTCTGAGAAAATGGGATTGGTGGGATTTCATAGAGTGCCTGTATAAGAATGATGTCTGAAAAACTGAAATCTAGAGGACAACTTGGAGAAATATATGTATTTTCCACTTCCTTGCAAAGAATAGTGTTCTCCTAGTAGCACAGAAGTTCATGTTCCTGGATATGACTTTTTTCCTAAGATTACGTGATCTTTTAACTTCCCATGACAGAGAGGTGTTCCAAAAGAGATATTTTTAAAATGTTGCTACGCAGTCTATTTTTAGATGAGAAATGGTATATTAATGCAGCATTTGAGTGAATTCATTTTAGACTTCTGTTTTCATTATTAAAAATAGCGCCAAATCGTAAAAGCTTAGTTTGCCACTCCAGCTTTTTAAGTAACTTGGATTTTTATTAAGTTTTGTAACATAAAGAAAAACATGCTTGAACAATAACTCTTGAGAGTTCAAATTAACCTCTCTCTCTCTCTCTCTCTTTTTCTCTGTCTGCTGTTCAGTTTTATGCCCCTTGGTGTGGCCACTGCAAGAAATTGGAGCCTGTGTGGAATGAAGTTGGTATAGAAATGAAAAACATGGGCTCCCCAGTAAAAGTTGGGAAGATGGATGCAACTTCTTTTTCTAGTAAGTATGGTTTGATTGGGGAAACTTCATGATATCCTCTATTTGGAAATTTTTTATAGTTATTCTTCTGTTCTTTCTCATATAAACAAATGCTCTCAAACAGTCACTAGGGAACAATCTCTTGAGGCTTGTGTTCACTTTAAAAGTTATAACATGCTATAGTGTACATTTTTTATCTTGCTTATTCCAGCTTTTGTGTTGGGAATTCTTTCTGACAAATGAAAGGTAAAAGCTTTTCAAAGATATGACTTTTAATATGCTTTTTAGAATACTTTTATACAAGTGTCTTTACATAGTGCTTCTGTTGACAGCATCTAGTTTAACAACTCCATTTTAAGTTCCTTGTGTTAATTCTGGACAAGTATTTGTTTTCACTTTTGCTCTTTTCAGGTAATCAGTCCTTAAGATGTTATACCAAAAGCCTGCTGAAATCACTGAAGTCATTATATCAGTGTTAAGCCAGTTTCTCCCAATTTTCTCTGTATGTCATCTTGAAGAACCAGTCTCAGATATTTTAACACTTTGAGGTTCATTTTTGATGATGCCTTTTTCATATTTATTGAACTTCAAGGATATTTTAAGAAAATTCGCATACTCAAAGAAGAGGTTTGGGTAGACATAAGATAGTTGTAAGCTTAATACTATTTTTATAGTATTAATGTGCTTACTTATTGTCATTTCACTCTAATCTATCTTGAACTGGAAAGGTATTTAAAAGAGCAAGGCATAGGAAGCAGTGGGGCCCAAGTGAGCTTCTCTAGGTCTGTGCATCATGATAAAATTCTGTTAATAAATGTAATGTTGTTAATCGATACTCATTAAAACTGATTATAAAGGTTTGCTATATCTTCATAAGATATGTAGAATATTCTTCTGTGATTATTCCACTTTCTCTTTGTTTATATGTAGCCACAGAGGTTTGGTCTTTTGAGATCAAAATGCTCTTGTCTTAACTGTCTTATGTAACCTATTCTGTAAAAACACGTAAGAGTTCATCTTGTGTGCTTCAACTTGAAGATACTTAATTACTAAAGAAAATGAAGTATGGAGAATTAAAAGTTGCAAAATGATGCTGCAGGCCAACTTCAGAATTAGGAATAGATTTGTATCTCTAACATTCCAGTCACTTAATCAGATAATCAAAAATCATACAAACTGTTATTCTGAAATCATCCTGCATTCATCATCCTTATAGTAGATTTTTATATTGGGTACCTACAGCAGAATTGACAGCTCGTTTTTGTTCAGAAATTAAGTTTTGCGTGTTTGAAAGAGATTCATGTCCAAGAACTACAAGGATTCCTTTGCACCCTAGAAATATTCTATTCTTGAAGATGTAGTTTAAGGTGGAGGTTACCATGCTCACAATGAGAAGGAAGATTGCAGTTGTACTCCTCTAAACGACAGGAATAAAATAAAGCTTTTAAACATCACGTGGGCTGTAGAATTGTGGATAAATCAGCAGGCGTATGTGAAGGGGGAAAAAAAAATAGTTCTGTAATTATCTCCCTCTTTACCACTTTAGTAAGAAGAAGGAAGAGTCCATCTGTGGGAGTTTACCTCTGGAGAATACAGTTGACAGACTGACTTTTCTGAAACTGCTGTAATATAACATTGTACTTCTGTGTTCCTACCCATGACTGTAGCATGTGTGTTTAATAATTTCTCTTGTTTATCTATCTCTTAAGCATTAGTATTGCAAACTGTATATCCGTTATGCTTTTCTTGCTTCAGATATTTCCAGATAGTAGTATGTACTGTGCTTATTACATACACGCTACCTTTTGGTGAAAATTGACTAAACATATCTATTTAGTGAACTCTTATGCCATTTAACTTTTACATTTGAATTGGGAGCCTGCAGTATGCAAAAAGAAGCCCAAGGTTTAGTGGTGTGGTTTAATAATAGTAACTCCTGAAAGGAAATGAAATAGTTCATGCTGAACTAAGTGACAGGTTTTTCATTAGTTTGTGGCTTGAATAGTTTACTATCTTTAAACCTCACACTAGAAGAGCAAGAGAGACTTGGCTCACTTTGATATTAATGAATATCTTTCAGGTATCGCATCTGAATTTGGAGTGCGAGGCTATCCAACAATTAAGCTGTAAGTTGATACTTCGTGTTGAAGTAATTTCCTTTCCTACCAGTGATCTCATAAGGATTAAAAAATAAAAAGTATAGTTGATGTCTATAAAAAGCAATTTTTTTTTT